AAAAGATAAAAACAAAACAAAACTGAGCACTAATATAAGAAAAGTGGGTACCTGTGTAGCTGAGTTGGTTCCCACTGTCTCTGAAACCAAAAACGCCACTGGGATCAGCAGTTGTGGTTATCACCATCTGTACTCACTGCCTGGAACTGCTGAGTGACAGATGCAGGTGGGTTCCTGCATTGGGTTTTTGGAAGGGAGGCATGCATTGTGCAGGGAGAAGTCTCCTATACTTGTATTGGTGACTCCTGCTTAACGACTTTGTTAATTGTCTCCTGCTGGCCAGGTGCTGCCTGGAGCCTTCAACGTCTGCACATCTATTGAGCATTTTTCTTAAAAATGTCAAGATGGAGCTTGCACTTTCTCAGCCATCTCTCTTGTCTTGCTGGGCAGGAAAAGGCAACTGGAAAATGTCAGCCCTCCCAGCAGATTGACCAGAACTGAGGGAATAGGAAATTTCCCCCTGCCCCACTCTTGGCTCTCAGAAATCATTAACATTTCATAGTGGGTGATCTTTGAACCCCCTGCCTTTCCACAGCCTTTCTCTGAACTCTTTAGCATCTTTTCACCTTTTCATTGAATTGCAAACTAGTCGAAAGGCAAAACCAGTATCAAATTTCTTATTTATGTCCCTTTTCATGTACTGGAGGAGAGCTTTGCACAGTTATAAATACAGACCACCTCAGGGCGTGATTTAGATAGATCTGTGGTGGTGGTGGTGGTGGTGGTGGTGGTGGTTAGAATTGATATCTCAGGAAACCAGGACTATGATGATACATCTATACTTTTCCGTGGTCCGGTCCATCCTCAGAGCAGGCTGGAAAGGGAAATTTCCATGTCTTCACTTTCTTGGATCCATGGCTATTAACTTTTAGGTCCTTTGGAACACTGGCCCCTGACTCTGAAACCTGCCTCCATCTTCCACCAGCTCTGCGGTGTTAGGTGACTTACTTTACCTCTATGAGTAAATCACAGTGTATTTCTATAGCTCCGTTTCTATTCCAGTTGCATTGTATACATTCTCCAATGATGTTTTTCATTATTTTTTATGTGAGGATTCAATTGGATAATGTAGAGAAAGCATTTGGAATTTAGTTTTGTAATGCTATTATTATTTTGATGATCATCCATGATAAAGAAGAGTGGTTGCTTGAGATCTGTATTCTTGGACAGTCTGGCTGACCATGGGTTGTGTATTTTGGGAAGAAAACAACAGGGCAAACTATTTCTCTTCCTTCTCTCTCCTCCTCCCCCAGAACCCAGAACCATGAAATTAACCACCCACCAGCCAAATCAGTGAAACAATAGAGTGTGACTTATGTTTAAGACTCTGGGTCACAGACAAAGGGTCCCTTTTTTTCTTCTTTTTTTGTTTTTTGTTTGTTTGTTTGGTTGGTTGGTTGGTTGGTTTGGTTTGGTTTGGGTTTCTTTTTGGCTTTAAAGCGGCACTATTCAAGCTTCACATCTCTGACTCCACATCATCCTACTCCTCAAGCTCTCTCTGCTCAGCCCCGTTTGGGTGACTCGGGGCTCACTTCCCTGCCCACCACCTCCTAAGTGATTTCTGAATGACCGCATCTTTGGGGAGGATCCAAGTTTGAGTTGAACCCAGACCTCTGCTTTCCCAGGTGGTTTTCAGGAGCTCATCTTCCACAGGTCACAGCTGTGTGGGGGCCTCTGTTTATGATTGTGGGGGGCATAGCTAAGAGGAAGGAGTGCCAACGGGCACCTCCTAGCGTCAGGTCCACAGCCTGCCCCACTGCTGGGACCGCCCTGCCCTCCTTCCCTTCCCTGAGACACCAGGTCTTGTGATCATTTTCACCTGTAACACTTCTTCCACTGGCTTTTCTTCCCCTCAGCGTAATGTTTGAAGCACGGACTTGCTTTTGCGTCTTGTGAAAAATAAGAGAAAGCTTTGATAATAAAAATGTTTCTCTTTACAACACTCTAAGAGTTCTCTTCATCTTGGGATGAGTTAATGCTCTGACCTTTGAACGAGATAGCACTTTTGCACACTGAGATGCGATCATTGATTCTGATGGGGAAGGAGGCCCTGCACATTGAACTCCATAGATCTGAGTTGTCCATAGTTCAAGCAATTTCTCCATCACCTTGGAGTTGCCAATATATAGATTAAAACAGTAAGAAGGTAAGCAGAAATGTAAGCTAATTCAGCCTTGGAAATAGCCGAATATTCATTTCTTCCAGGCAAGTTAACTTTTATTACTATTGACAACTACACAGAGACAGTCAAAAGCAGCGTACAGCATTTTAGTGCCTGATACCTAAAAAGTGCTCAGTAAATGTTAGCTATTATTTTTATTATGATCATCAACGGTACAATTATAATGGTTATAAAACATAGTTAATTCCATATACCTGGTATAGACAATTTACAAAGCACCTGGCTGTATTTCATCTCACCTGATGCAACAACCCTTGGAAACATTTTTATCCCTGCGTCTCAGGTGAGAGCACTATAGCTAGAAAGTGGCAGTTTTCGAAGACAGTTTTCTTACCTTTGGTTCTTCACCCTTTCCCCTCACCACAGTCACCAAAGAGAAAACACAGGGTCAGGTTCTGTTCCTGTTATCAGGGTACACCTGCTGGTTAAATTAAACGTGTATATTCTCGGGTTGGCTTGTGTCTGGACCGGAAGTCAGGAGGATGTGCTGTGTTCAGCCTCCACAGTTTTTTTGTGTCTCGAAGGCAGCCAGTCATACGGCCTCAGCACCACCATCAGTGGGCCTGTCCATAGACTGGGGCCAAGTAACACCACCTTCTGTCTGCCTACAGAATCCTATGTTGCTACCTAGAAAGGCACATAAAGCCTCAAAGTCTGCTTGACATGTTACAGGGGAATATCCTTATCAGGCTCACATGCCTTGCTAGATGGAGCTAGTGAGAGGCAGCTGGGGAAGTGGGGAGAGCCTGGGCCTTCAAGCCAGGAAGGCGGAAGGTATATGATTTTGGGCTTTGAACAGTTTTGGATTCTGCTACTTGTCTCAATCTGCCACTTGTTAGCCATTTAACCTTCCGTGTGCTAATTGATGTCATGTGTCTTAGTTTCTTCATCTGTAAAATGGGGTTATGAACACTCACCTCCTAGGATTATTATGAGAAATAAAGGAAATACGATATTTACTGCTCTTTGCACAATGCCTGGCACATGGTAAGCATTCGGTGAATGATAGTTTTATCTTTATAATTTTAATTAACCTTCTGAGCCTTAATATGCACATCTGTAAATTGGGTTTGGCAAGGTGGCCATGACAATTAGAAGGCATGTAAACAAATTACCCAGCGTGCTGCCTGGCACATAGTGGGTCCTTAGTAAACTTAATTACTCTGGGCCTTCATATCTCTGTAGATCCTCCCCTGTGTTCCTAAAGCCCCTTAGTGGGTCAGTCACCCCCTCCTCTGGGCCTTCTAGTCCCTCAGAACAGATTCTGTAGCTTGTCTGTCTCCCCTACTTGACTGTGAGCTTACCAAAGCTGGGCTATCTGATTTGGTTCTGGATCTGCAAACCAGCCACAGATCCTGGCATAGAGTGGGCTTTTAGAAAGTGTTCATCAATTGAACAGACACATGATGCTACACACAGGATGCTGGGGGAGTCCTGGCACTGCAGTGTTTAACTTTGTATGTGGGGAGTCAGGGTAGCCATCCCAGAAGGGAGAGTACCATCAAGGCTCAAGTCTTGAATCCTCAGATGGGATTTAAGCAGACATTTGTACTAGATTTTGGGAATAGGCTTCCTAGCCTTCTCCAGCTCTGAGATCTTTAGGGACATGTCCATTCTTTGGCATCTTATGGACCCATCTAAATTGTTGCACAAGACTATTTAGCAGTTGCTTCCTGGAAAAGTATTTTTAAAACAGAAATACATGCTACGAAGTTGAAATGTACAACAGATATGCAGTGAAAAGTAAATCTCTCTTCTGTGCCTTCCGCTTAGCATCTCCTTCCTTCACAGGACACACCCACGGTCACCAATGTCTTTCATATCCTACCAGAAATATTCTGTACATATATAGGAAATTTTTTTTTTGCCTGAAGGTGGTAGTATATCAAATATACTGTTCTGCATGTTATAATTTTCCCTCCAGAGAAATACATACAAAAAACTTTCTCACTCTTTTTTTATGGTTGCACAGTATATATATCTAGCCCTTTATTGAGGGACTGGTTTCCAATATTTTGCTACTACAGACAGTGCTGCAGTGAATAGCCTTATCAATGAGTGTACGTACATCACTTAGTATGTATGTGAGTATCTGGAGAGTGTATCTGGAGGAGAAGTTTTTAGAATTTGAAACTGATTCCAGGGTAAAGGGTATGTGTATTTTAAACTTGACAGCTTTTGTCAACTTGCCCTCCGCAGGATTTATACCAGCTTTTGCTCGCACAAGCCAAGTATGAGAGTGCCTGTTTCCTGCTCTCTGCCAACACTGTGTATTTTCAACCTTCTTTTATCTTTGCCAAACCATATGTGAAAAATAGGATTTCAAAGTTTAGCTGGCATTTCTCCTCCTGTGAGTGATGTTAAGAGTCTTTTTTGATATAATTGAGAGCCGATTGTATTTCTAGTTCTGTAAATTGTCTGTTCCTATGCCTGTTTTCCTACCGAGTTATTGGACTTTGCCTATTATTTGCAGGAGTTATTTTGATATTAAGAAAATTAACCCTTTGTGATAAAAATGGCAACTTTCCCCCTAAAGTAAAACACAAATCCCAGACCTGAAACTCCCCTCCCCTGTCCCTTCCCAGATCCACTAGACTGTGAGTCCTCCAGGACAGGGTCCACACCTCGGTCATCTCTGTGGCCCCCATCCCCTATGAAGGGCTTGGCACTGCACGAGCTCTCCTCAGGGGCTACTTGCTGAACTGAACTGACCTGAATCCCTGTGTTCCCCACCCCATTTTCCCCCACCCCCCATGGCTTGGGAGTTTCATTTCCGCCTCCAGCAGAAAAAGATGACTTTTCTCATTGCTCACCACAGCCATGCACCTGTTTGGCCTAAACTGGCACCTGCAGCCGATGGAGGGGCAGATGTATGAGATCACGGAGGACACAGCCAGCAGTTGGCCTGTGCCAACCGACGTCTCCCTGTATCCCTCAGGGGGCACTGGGTTAGAGATCCCTGACAGGAAAGGCAAAGGAGCCACAGAAGGTAGGGTTGCTGTGTTGTCCGTGTCGTGAGTCCTCTGTGTCTGCCTTTGAACTGAGGAGACCTCCATTATGCGCGTCATGTGCCTGACTCACAGCTCCATGCTCTGCGCTTCCTCCATCCCTCTGCACTCCACACCGGCTGCCAGTCCACCTGTGTCCTCATCACAGCTCCTTGTCACTGTGAGCTCATGCAGGGCTTGGGTGGGGCTCCTGGTGCTCGGCGGTATCCCATCTCATGCCTCCAGGGAAGCATTCTGGGCTTGCTCACTGCTGGGGTGGCCGCCTCTGATTATGTGGGATCCAGACAAGCTCTTGGGGGTAACCTCATGGGGTAAAGGGGCAACTCTGGGAGTGGGGCTTGGTGAGGTGGGTAGATGGTGTGTTGTCATTGAAATATCCTTGGACCCTTGTGGTTTAATGGAAACACCAGTTCAGGTGTTCTAGCACCTTCCAGCCATGTGACCTTGAGGAAGTCGCCTCATTTTTCTGAGCTCTGGTTTCCTCGTATGCAATACCAATAATCATTAGTGTTTGTACAATGTGCTCATTTCAAAAATTTTTGTCAAGAGCATTTCATTTAATCCTCACAGGGATTCTGTGAGGTAAGTAGATTTGTTTATACCCATTTTAGATGCAACAACTAAAGGTCACATGAATGAAGTGACTTGGCCAGAGTCACCCACCAGGAAATAATGGAGTTTGGAATCTGAGCCCAGGTCTCCGTGGCTCTTGCTCTTCCACAACTTGTCCTTCCTGACTAACCCTATGGTTACAAGCCCCTGAAGGAGACATGGATGAGAAATCCATTGTACACGGAGGCACAAATTTATTTTTCTATCATTGATTAAAATGGTGGTGACTTTTGGAGTTTGGCTTTCTTAAATGGGACATCATTAGACCCATGTTCTGAATTTCTTAGGGGTCTTTCTAGCATGCCATCAATACAAATTCTTTCATATCAGCCAAGAGTGACACAAACTCACAGAAAAATGGTACCAGGAAAGATGTCTGAGCTTATGAGCCAGTCAGGGGGTCATTCTGGGCAGAGTGGCCATCTGTTCTCCTGCCCCTGCTGTGACCTGCTCTCTCTCTCTCTCTCTCCCTGGTGTTAACTCAGTCAGCAAAGTGGCCATAGCTGCCTCCTACCCTTACTGCTTATATCTTACCTTTCCTTTCATTTAACTTTTAGGTCATGGCTTCTGAGCTTCTCTGGCCTTTCAAGGATTTGCCTTCCACGCAACAGTTTGGTTAATAGGGTAGCATATGCTTGTTGGGGTATCTACTCATGACCTCTGAAATGATGATCTCAAAGGCCAAAATCAACTTTTTACCTGTATCCATCTTTAAGGGACGCAAACTGGGGGTATTTCCACAGATCCAAAGCCCATCTTCTCCTTTTCAAAGGTTTTAAGACATAAAACCTTGAATAATTTACACTTCCTTTGCCCTGTATTAGGATAGGAGGGCACATGCATAGGGTCTTGGGAAGAACTCTGGCTTAGGAATCAGGATCCCTGAATTCAAGTCCAGCTGCCTGTGATGTCACCTTAAGCAAATCCCTTGAAAAGACCTTCTGGCTTCATTTTCCTTCTCTTTACAGGGAGATTGTGGAGCTAGATGATCTCTAAGGCCATTTCTAATTTGCAAGTTCTACATATGAAATTAGTCATAGAATCATCAGAGGACTGACCAGATGGCTCTTCAGAATTTTTTTCAAGTTGGTCCTGTCCATGGTCCTGCTTGTTGGCTCGTGATGCCCAAGCCAGTTACAGTGTCAGATGCTGCAGATGAATTCCATGAAATGAAGACTGTCTTTAGATCAGCATGCACAAATGCAGACTGAAGATATGTTTAACCCTAAACCTATTGGTAAAGGGTCTCATTTAGCAAAATGTATTTTCTTCCCCCCGTGATCTCTATCAAGCATTCTTTAAACAGGAGTTGGATGTATCTGAAATCTCTCACTCTAATGAAATTAGTTTGTGGGTTGTTTAGGCATGGAGCAGGAGGCACAGATAAGAGACAAAATACAATTGCACCAGCTTATTGGTTTACTTTAATTGGAGTATTTTTGCTTAAAGGGATTATCTGTCATTACTAATGCAAATGGATCCTGTTTACCAACCCCTGAAATGCAATGCAGTGCTGGAAAGTGGTCAGCATCAAAAGCAATTACTGTGACAAGAAAACACACCAGTCTGGAAAAACAGTGGACAAGGCTTTCTATAGTTTACATGAGACCACGTGGTTCTTAACTTCTTTTGCCCTGGTCAAACCAATGTCTACTCAGTTAATGCTTTTAATCATGATGTTAAAAAATCTAATTCCTTAGACACATCTCAAGGGGGAAAGTTTCTAACCCTAATGTGAGTGCATATTTCCTCTCCCTTCTGAGGGTATCAAAGAAGAGAGCTGATTCCAGAATTAGGTTCAGAGACCCTGTCCCACATGATGGGGGAAACAGTGGGGTATGATGGGAAAAGGATAAATGGGCCTTGCAGCAGACAGTCCAGTGTTTGACTCCCGGCCCTGCCATTTATCGGCTCTATTAATCCATGCCAGTTACTCCATCTCTTTTGGTCTTAGTTATCTCATTTGTAGAACAAGGATGATACCTATTTTTTCAAATGCTAGTGGTGAAGAGGCATTCCACAAATCCTGGTTCCTTTCTTCTTGTCTATTCAAATTCAAAGTCATTCCATATCAGTTATTAGAATCTCAGAAATCCAGGCTGATTAACATTTTATCCTCAAAGATCCTGCAGAGGATCAGGGCATTTTTGAGTATTATTTAGTAATGCAAATAAAACATATGATGAAACAGTATTTTAAATGTTCACCATGTCTTTGAGAATAACATCAAACTGCAGTATATATTATATTTTCAACATGGCTATAACCATTTCAGGGTTGTCATAGGACAGAAACTAAATACAACAGCTTTTGCAAGTAAAGCCACAAGAACTTATGTTATGCATTAATGGAGAAGGGGGTAAAAAGCCATGAATAAACAAGCATTTCTGATGGTTGAATTGGTGGGCTAGGGATAGCATTTTCTTCTTTCTGCAGTGAAATCAGAATTGCCCATCAGTTTGAACCATGCAAATTGCTGCATGCAGGCTCAGCTGGGCTCTCCAAAATGAAACAGCTTATTTTGATAACCAAATAAATTTCAAACAGTTGCTAAGGAAACTAAAGGATCCTTTGTGCAAGTTATTGCATTGAAATGAACAAAAAAAGGGTAGAAGGAGGGTGGGGGATATTAGTTGATTAGCAATTTAGAACTGAGTTCAGGAAAGTAACTGGGCAGTGTATGAAATTTCAGTTCTTCCAAATATTACACATTTTACTGAGCTATCCAATCAGGTCAGAAATTTGTTGAGAAATTTATTTTATAAACATGATTGTGTATTTGCACAACATTGCTACAGGAAGCCTGAATTTGTATATATTTACAAAGAAAAGGGCCAATGTCAGTAGAATCTGCCTTGTGAAACCTAATCGTGCTGTTGGTGGTCCCTAATCCTGAGTTAAGTACTTTGAGCAGTTTGCTAAGCCTCTGGGGGCACCCACTGATTGAACAGTGTCCTTCTTATGAATGTCCGAGATGCTGACTGTCACCTTTTAGGGCTGTTTGCAGGTCCCGACTTCATAAAAATTGTCGACTTCTGGTACTCCAGGGTGCCCGGAAGTTTGTCACTGGGCCTTGGATCTGCCCACTCTGGCCTTGCTAGTTAGCCTGTAGGGACTGTGCATTAAATTGGACTCTTGCCCTTAAAGAGGGTCAGTGCACTCTGCCCCCATCGAGAATGTCTTTGAAGAGTTGTGATTAACCATTCATCAGTGTCATGCTCTAAGAAGCCATATTCTAATAATAAAAGCGAACTCCGAATGGGTTCATCTCCCAGTGTTTCTTAAGCATTCTGAGCCTCAGGATATACATTTCAATCATGTGAGAATTAACTGACCTAAGATACGTGAAATTCCCCACCATGTAGTTAGAGTTCAATACATGGTAGCTAAAACTACTACCTCTACCTTCATTACTATTACCATTACTTTTATTATTATTATTATTATTATTATTATTATTATTATTTTCTAGAATGTCATAGGGGTAAAATGAATTTTATACACAGGCCTTTTCTCCTCCGGTTGCCTCTTCCCTCTCTCATTTCTCCACCACTGCTGGGCTTTGCTATGTAGTAGGATGTTTTCTGTCCTAGTGCTCACAGCTCGGTGCTCAGAATTAAGAGCAAAGAATCATGGGTTATGGCTTCTGGAAGGAAGATGGGGTTTTTTCAAGGCAGGACAGGATGGGGTGGTTTCACTCTGAACAGCCCTCAGCCCAGCCAGTCTCACACCTCTTTCCCATCAGGCCCAGGACCCAGCAGGCTGCAGCTCTCCCCGTAGAAAAGCCCCCATCTCATCCAGGGCACCTCTGGGCACCAGAGGGGAAGAAGAATAATAGAGGTTACATTCCCAGTGGGGGACCTCTTTCCCCTCTCAAACACGGCCTTTCAGCTTGGTTGTGGCCCCTTCCCTAAGGATCTCGACAAGGTGACTTCTGGTCCAAGGTCACTTTTGAACCAAAGCTCCAGAGTGGCCCTTACAGTCTCAGCCAAAAAAAGTCAGTCTTGGGGCGGAGGGTGGGGGGTGCCCAAGACCAGAATTTACTATTTTGGTTTCTTGTATACACACCAAAGACAAGTTCCCCCCTATTTTGGCATCTTTGTTGAAATACTAGAACACTAGAAAAGAATATTCCACTCTCTTTGCCCCTCCCTCTTCTGGAGTAAGAGCCAACTTATTCGTGCCCCTGGCCTGGCAGATCTCCTGAGAGTCTCTGGGCTTGGCCCCTGACCTGTGAGGCTAAAGAAGGTGCTACTACAATAGCCGTCTCCTGGAGACATGCTCACTGAAGGGAAAATGAACTGTGCATGGTTTCCCAACAGCGTGCCGAAATGCGGGAGATGTTCTTGTTATTTATTCTCAGACATACAAATTAGTGGGAGGCAGACCCTTCTCCGCTCTCACCAGCTCTAACTCACACCCACTCACAAAAGAAAAGAGTCCTTAGAATTAGCAATCTCATGGGTTTTTTTCTCTGCAGTTTCTAGGAGTAAAAAATCCAGAACTCATCCCGTTTTTGTTTCGTACTCCCTCAGACTTCTGCTTCCCTAGCAGAATTAGAAGCTCAAGGGCATACTATTTTCTACCTGGACTATAAAAGGATTGTGGTATTGGGAAACCAGACATCAGATAAGGAAGAATGGGAAACTAATTCTCTTCCATCTTAATGCTTTTCGAATTTGGCTTCTGTCTTTGAACTTTGAACCACTGCATGGTGGTTTGTGTGTGTCTCCACTTTCAAGGTAAAAGTCTGGGGCACGTTGCTTCCATAAAGGAATTAAATGCGAGCTCTTCCCCATGCTAATGACAGAATACTAGTGGTACTTTTATTGAGAGCATGCATTTTAACTTTTTTTTTGTTGGCATATATTTAATTAAAATAACATTTAATGGTTTGAAGCTAAAAACCTGATGTTTCTGCCTGGGAGTTTATAAGGGAATGATAACATATGGAGAAGTTTAACATTTAAATTGAATTGTATTATTTAAAACAGTACAATATTTTATGACTACAACAGTGCCCTGCCAAGCTCCATTTCAGCATAAAATGTGCTTTGTAAGGACTCTTATAAAACTAGGGGGAAAAGACGCTTTAATTTCCTATTCCCCAAATGTTTTTCATAAAAATTCCCCAGAAACGTGTTTTCTTTACAAATGGATTCTTGTTCTCTAAAGTGTCTCTTCCAACAGCTCTAACAACACAACAGGCTTGGAAGTAGGATGTCTGGGGGTGCTTTCTAAGGACAAATAAGATGTTGACTTGGTTTTGGCTTGTCATCATCCTAAGGGCGGTCTTCTTACATCCCTAGAGTCTCCTGCTCCCTCCCAACTCCTCAGAAGGCCAAGGTCTGGCAGGAAGTGAGGGTTTATATTTTTCACATGTGAATGTGTTTAATTACCAAATAGAGGAAGTTTGATAAGTAGTCTTCCTTCCTGGCACTTGGGGTGCACCCAGAAAGCTGTAACTCTCCTGATTGGTCACAGAAATAATCAAGAGACCTTACTCCTAACCACCACCACCCCAGACTTCCCTGCAGCCGGCAGGGTTGGGGGCCTGGGTCAAATTTCCAAGCATGTCATAGCCTTTGTAGCTGAACTTGAGAAATTCCTTCAACTTTTCCCTCTTTAGCACAGAAATGATATTCAAAGACCTCCCATCCTAGACAAAGAAGCATTTTTCCTCCCTCTTCCTCATCTTCCCCAACCCTACCCCTCCTCCCAACAGAAACCCCATCCACATATCTCAACCTCAGAATTTGAATTCCAGTTATATATAAACTAGTGAACTTGTCAAATGCCTTACTCCACTCAGGTCCTGCTTCCTACTGCCGGGAGGACCATTCCTAGTTGGGAATTGAATAACAGCACCTCGTTTCCTCCAGCCTTTCTATTTTAGCATGCACGCTTTCTCTCTCACACACACACACACACACACACACACACACACACACACACACACACTTATTCTCATGTGGCAGCAAATGATTATTTTTAGGATCAAAATATATCTTAGCAAGCTGTGGAATTATGCAGTAAACAGATGGCCCTTGGGGAGGACGCACACTGCTTTGGAGGAATGAGTATTTTTAGCAAAACAATTTGAGTATCACTGGGAAAACGTCTGGACACTCTTACTCTTCAGTAGGGGCATTGGGGGGTTGAGGGGGTGGCTGGCAGCAGACTTGCAGCGAGGAGTGCGAGGCAGAGGGGCGCCCTGCTCATGTGAATGCACTAATCGCTTGACTCACCTGTGTCTAATCGTGATGTTTTGTCTTCCCTTCCCTGTGTCTTGGTAGGAAAGCCCAGTAGTTTCTTTCCAGAGGACAGTTTTATAGACTCGGGAGAAATCGACGTGGGGAGACGGGCTTCCCAGAAGATTCCTCCCGGCACGTTCTGGAGATCGCAGGTGTTCATAGACCACCCCGTGCATCTGAAATTCAATGTGTCTCTGGGAAAGGCGGCTCTAGTCGGCATTTATGGCAGAAAAGGCCTTCCTCCTTCACACACGCAGGTAACCAGAATCCCACCCGCCCTGCTGACCTCCAGGGCGCCTACCTCAACTCTTAACCCACAGACAAGAAGCCTAATGCTTAAGCCTGCATCCTTCAGCTTGAAGGGAATTTTATATATTTACTAGAGGTGGGGTCCCTCGGTCTGGCCTGCGGAGATTGCGCTGAAACTGGCTCTCCAACATCTCCTGAGGGGTCCCGGATTGAGAGAGGGCACAGGCCAGGTCGAGGGACCCCACTGGTGCACAATCGGGGCCGGAGAGGTAGTGCAGGAAGGCTCCAGGGCGTGTTCGGCCCCATCTCTCCCAGTCCTGATCAGCTGGACCCCAGCAGCAAGCTAACCTATTGGTTGGAGTGCCTGCCCCTGGGTGGTCAGTGCACAGCATAGCGACTGGTTGAATGGTCAAACAAACGGTCGGACACTTAGCCTATTAGGCTTTTATTGTATAGGATAACCCACTCATCCATTTACCTTCTCTCAGACCCTGCCTTTCAGATGAGCAGGGTTATATCCCTGGGGCTTTTTAAGGGGAGGGAATTCTGGGAAATGTCGCATTGCCTTTCTATTCTCACCTAGTCTCCTAAGTTAAATTCTGAGAATTATAATCTAGAGGAAAAAATGTGTGTACTTTGGAGTCAGGCAGACCTGAGTTTGAATCCAACAGACCTCTCATTATCGGCTGTGAAACCTGGAGCCTGTTATCCTCTCAGAGCAATTTCCTAATCTGTCAAGTGGTGAAAACAAGACTTATACTGCAGAGATGTTCTGAAGAATAAGGAATAGCATTTATAAGGCAGCTAGTGCAGGGCCTGGATCAGAGTACATGTTATTTCCCGAGTCTCGGGTATTCTTTCTCTCTTTCAGAGTTTCACATTTACTCAGACATATGCATGCCCAAAACACTTCATAAACTCAGCCCAGATGATTGACATATTACCAGTCACAATGGGTAAAGAACAGACTTGTAAGGCCCTCCCAGCTCTGGGATTAGAGTATCATAAATCTATAGGCATCCAGCAGACATCCCCAGGCCAAATGCAGTCTCGTAGCACCAGTCATTAAGGTTTTTAGGTAACAGCTAGATAGATACATTTGCTAAGGATGGAGTCACAGGAAAATAGCGAGAGCATGGCCCCTGATTTCTCTGTAGAACTGAGATGCTAGCCCTAGATTCATGCCTTCAGACATTTTTTATAAGATAGAATAAATATCTTGGTTTTTTTTAAAAAAATATGGACCTGGAGAACATTATACTAAGCGAAATAAGCCAGTCAGAGAAAGATAAATATCACATGCTCTCACTCATTTGTGGAACATAATGAACAACATAAACGGATGAACAAAATAGATCCAGAGACATAGAAGCATTGAACAGACTGACCAACCTCAGAGGGAAAGCAGGGGAAGGGGGAGGCTAAAAGATCAACCAAAGGACCTGTATGCATGCATATAAACATAAGCCATGGACACAGACAGTAGGGGCATGTGCTGGGGGGTGGGAACAGCCCAGGAGAGGTCAATAGGGGGAAAATGAGACATATGTAATACTTTAAACAATAAAGAATTCTTTTTAACAAAGAAAGAAAAATAGATATATAGAGAAAGAAAGAAGGAAAAAAAGAAAGACAGAAAGCTCAGTTTGCTTGCTAGTAGGCCAGTAGGACTTAACCGTCTTCCTATTGTTAACACCATGAGTCAGACTTCTCTTGAGTCTCATACTAGCAGGCTCAGATCAATTGGCAATTGTGTTTGACAGAGCATGTAATTATTGATAGAGTTTTGAGCTAATCCAGTTAAAACTGCTCCCTGAAACTGAAGCGCTTAGACAGGATCATTGACAAAAAGAAGATAGATATAAATGAACTTTCATTTGCACTTGACAGACATTTAAGGCACATCCAGGGCTCCAGACCCAACCCTGGACCCCTTGGGGTTCCACAGAGTTGGGAGTTCACTTGTTAAGTGGCAGGGTCTGATCACATGCCCACCATTGAAAAAGCTTGGTTGTCCTGAGCCAGACTCAGCCAGAGGAAGACTTACCACACATACACCAACATTAAAGCAGAATGAGGCCGGAAAAGAACCCACTAATTGTACTGCACCCACAAAAGAATAAGCAGACTATTGCCCTGGGAAAATGGGGTCTGGCGAGGACTTGGTGGTGGTCCATCAAGCTTCACGTGGCTTTAGCCTCTCTTGACTGTTTCAGGTGTGTTCCCTGGGTTCTCCACAGGAGAAGCCTGAAGAAAGAAGCCAGCACTGTGGCAAAGCAGATCTGCTACTAACCATGCTCTCTCTGTACTTCAGTTTGACTTTGTGGAGCTGCTGGATGGAAGGAGGCTCCTGACCCAGGAGGCACGGAGCCTGGAGGGGCCCCAGCGCCAGTCCCGGGGAGCCGTCCCTCCCTCCAGCCACGAGACCGGCTTCATCCAGTACTTGGACTCAGGCATCTGGCACCTGGCTTTTTACAATGACGGGAAGGAGTCGGAAGTGGTTTCATTTCTCACCACTGCCATTGGTAAGGAACCGCCACCCTCTGGGGTCTGTGGGGTGTTGTCTGTTTGCGTGAGAAGATGCTCAGGATGCTGGGAGCTAAGGCTGATGGGGGGATGTGTCCCGCCCAGAGCTGCAGATGCCACCTGCCCTCTGGCATCAGGCCATCTGACCTGTGGACAGATGAGGGAAGGGGGTGCCAGGAGGGGCAGGAAGGCCACTCTGGGCTGGGCCCTGAGCCCAGGCTGTTGCCCACTGCCTTCCTTGTGTGGCCTGTGGCATGTTGTGTGCACCAGAAGCTACATTTAAAGTCATGGGTGAGAGGGGGACTGACAGTGACATGGGAACCCTGGATGACCTTCCACACGGAGGCAACATTTCTCTTCTTGAAACTTCTCCAACGCCTTCATTTTTTTTTTATTGTCTCCCTTGGTTCAACTTACTGATTTATTATTTGGGTTTTTATGGTAGTTTTTTGATTGTTTGGTTTTTGTCTGTTTTGCTTTGGGATCCACCAACCCCCCGGCAGATGAGAAAACATGGCAAAGGCAGAGAGACAGACAGACAGAGGACGTGCAAAGGGCTGGATGACCAATGCCATCAGTCAGGTTGGGGTTTTGTTGGGAACAGAGATGTTCTGTTCTCCGACAGAGTGAGCCCTGGTGTTTTAAACGAGTGCTAACACCTTCGCCGCCGTCCGTCCCTCGCAGTGGGAGGGGGCACAGCTCCCAGTTCTGAGTGAGCCGAGGCCCCTCCCCGGCCTGTGGCCGTCTGGAAGCCTGGCATCCTTGTAGGGAATGTCTCCTCTTGACCCTCACATTCTGTGGAACGTGTCCCCTCCTCCATTGCCACAGTGTGCTGCAGGACCCAGTGGTCAGTGGTTCAGGCAGAAACCAATTTTTCTGAGTCTATGTAGGAAGGGCTGTGCCATAGGCTGGAGATAAACATTTCCTATAAGAAAATAAAACTTCAGGAAAGACAAAACCTCACTAACCAGACCCCTTGGGAAGGAGGCTTCTGCTTAATGAAGGGTCTGTGTGGCTGGGAGTCCACCTCAGAACTGTCTCAGTCCTCAGTGGGGAGTCTCTGACGGGAAAAAGGAGTTGAATAAAACCTCTGAACCTGGTCCTTGGTTTCTAACACTCTTGCAAGACCCTGGTTCTCTCTTCTGAGCAGCAATAGTCATTTCCCGGTCACCTCGCTCTCATTTGCAGTCTTGCCCTTAGAGTTGAGGCCGAGAATACCTCTCGGTTAAATGCGGACTTGATTTATCAGCCTCTGCATAGCTGTGGTCCCAACAGTCCAGCCTGGCTAAGTGCCAGGGGCAGGGCCATCGGGCGCCTCGGCTCTGATGTGGGAAATGCCACTTGGCTGTCCTTGTTCGGAAGGGTCTGTCCCAGCTGCTGGTCTCCAAGTGTCTGAAGAACAGGGACTCTGACATCATCTTCTCTGCCCCCCAACACCCAGCCAGACCCCGACACCCGGAGTCACTCAGTCCCTCAGGATGAGCGTGGCCTTTCCTCTGTTCAGCCAGCCGTTGGCAGGATGGACCGCAGCCGCAGGCCAGGCCTGACGGGTGCCATGCTGTGGCTTTCTCCCTGCGTGCTGCCTTTTGAGGGAGAGGCAAAGTTCTGAATCTCCACCATTCACCTGTGATCCGACCCTGCACACGTTACTTATGTTTCCAGCTCTTGGTTTCCTGAGACCCTGGGCTGTGAGGCTGTGCTCAGTGGTTACTGTGACCAGATGCTAACATGGGATTGCAGTCTGTCACTGGAGAGCCCGGGCTGGTCCTCGCCCTCAGTTAGGCTGTCACTGCGGGTTTGCCAGACTCCAGACCTTGTTCCTATTTTCTCTCTGGACACGGCAGCCTCAACTGAGGGGCGCGATTCTCAGGTCATGAGTGGAGCCTGAGGACCAGCTTCATGGCCTCGCAGACTGATTCCTCAAAGGCATCGTTCACCAGCCAGCATAAAGTTCCGTGCTCACTCAGAGCTAAGGCCTCATACAATCAGAATTCTGCATTTGTAACAACAGTATAAATATGAAAGGATATTAATACAAACCCCCAAAGAAAGTGACTTTTAATTAGGATGTGCCTCTTAGAGAAATATAAGGTAGGTCCAGCCAGGTGCCCTTGCCAGCTCTTGGCATGTTGGAGCTTGCTAACTGGCTTTGTCATAATTAAGGACAGGGTGTTGCCTTTCCCTCTGGCTCTCTTGTTCTCACCTAAACGATGAAATCTGTCTTCACCTCCCTTCACCCTCTGCTGTCTTTCAGAGCCATGGGCTCTCCTGTGCTCCTCAGAGTGTTAGGAACCACCTGGCATCTCCTTCCAATGCCGATTCTGCTTCCGCAGATCTTGGTGGGTCCCCGGATTCTGCATTTCTAACCAGCGCCTGGTGACACCTGAGCTGCTCGTCTGTGGACCACATTTTGAGTAGCAAGGGGTTCTAGTGTCTTATGTGTGGTCTCAAACATTGCTGTACGAAGGAATCACCTGGGAAGCTAAGTCAAAATTCGGGCCCCCGGGCCTTTTCCACATGAATGATGACCCAATAGGGCGGAGTCAGAGCCCAGGTGATGCTGATGGTCTGTCAACTGAGCCCTGAAAGCAGATGCCTTATGCGTGTGGTCTTCCAGCCTTCCTGTCCTTCCTGCCTCCCGACCGTCCTGTGACCATGGGCAGTCACCTCCCTCTCTAAGCCTCGTTTTTCTTTTTTGGAAGTTACTTTGCCATCTCCACTGGAAAGATTATAGAGAGCAGTTATCAAGAGCCTAGCACAGGCTTCGGGTGCGGTGAGCACTCAGTTACATGGAAGTTGTTAATATTCTCTCCCATGTGTCTCCTCCTCCGTCCTCCTTTCTCTTGCTGCCTTTCTGACTTGTCTGTCTTCCCTCACATGACAGGGATTGTTTAATGAATACTTTTTTTCTTTTAACGCAAAAGCAGACCAATGGTGATGTTGCTATTAATCCCTTTCTCCCCCAGAGGCCCTGGCATTGAGTCTCAGCTGTCTGTGGTGGTTGCCGGTGAGTTATGACTTGTAATTTGTCTTGGCAGGTTAATTAAAAGTTTAGGTCTTGTTTTAGTGAAGTCATTATGGTCCCACTCTACAATTGTAACTCTCAGGTTTGCTTAACACACAAATTGGAATATGACCCTCCCTTCGTTACATGTTGAAATGCAGACTAGAATTTAAGAAGATCTGAGATGTCAGAATCCAGAGTATTTATGTCTGTTTGTAATTAAGTAACAGGAGAAATAAGTGTGTTTAATTTAACAAATGGCTAGATGGTGTACATTTTTGCTTTTCCCTCCATTTAATGCAATCCAGCTGATGATTTTAAAATAAATGAGTTTATCTTTTGCCTTGGGGAGAAAATTCTAAAAGCACTTTGCAAACTGTATACACAACTATATACACACAGAGACCTGATGTTGCCAGAGCTCCCTGTGAACTAGATGCACACACACACACACACACACACACACACACACTCCACTGAAACCAAGTTTTAGAATGAAACTTGGCAACTTTATTCAGAAAGAACAGTCTTTCCCCCACATGTGGAGATGCAGAATTTGAAGGCAACATTGTTTCTGGTCCTGACACCACCAGGGTGGGTAGCCTTGCTGACCCCCAGCATTGAGTGAAGTAGGAGGATGTAGACCAGTAGCCAAAATCTATTTACCACTGCAGTTCACAAAGGGCCTTCCATACATTCTTTAAGCCTTGCAGTGACTCCATGAAGAGATTATTCTTAGTTTATTACCACCCCCTATTGCAGATGAGGAATGAGGCCCAGGGATGCTAAGAGAAGAGCTAGGACTTGAATTTGCCTCTGTCTGACTCCAAAGTTTGTGACCTTCCTTCTTTAGCAATCTGCCTCCTTCCCAGAATCAATCCCCCTTTTTTTCTGTATTACACTTACTTCTGTTTTCACCTATTCACTCATGTAGCAAGCATTCATTTTTATTATTTTTTAATTTTATTTTTCAATTACAGTTGATTCAATATTATTTTGTTTTAGTTTCAGGTGTACAGCAGAGTGGTTAGACAATCATATACTTTGCAAAGTGTTCCCCCCACCCCATATTTCCAGTACCCGTCTAACACCATATCCTATATAATAAAGATGTAATATGCAAATGGTCATTACGTAACAACCAACTGCGTAACAACCGGATCATGGATCAGCAGGAGGGTGGGGCAGCGAGCTACAAGCAGGAGGCGGAGAGCTACAGGAGGGGGCAGGGCAGCAAGCTATGGGGGAGGGGAGGAGGGAGCTAAAGGAAGGTGGGGCAATGGGCAGAGAGCTACTGGAGGGCAGCAGCGAGCTACTGGCACACGGATTCATGCGCCGGGCCTCTAGTATAATTATAATATTACTAGAGGCCTGGTGCATGGATTTATGCACCAGTGGCGTCCCTAGTCCTGGCCTGAGGGGATTGGGCCAAAACAGGCTCTCCAACATCCCCCAAGAGGTCCTGGATTGCAAGAGGGTGCAGGCCAGGCCGAGGGACCCTGCCAGTGCACGATTGGGGCTGGGGAGGAACCCCAAGAGGGCTCCAGGGCGTGTCTTGCTTGTCTCACCCAATCCCAATCAGCCAGACCCCAGCAGCAAGCTAATCTACCAATCAGAGCATTTGCCCCTGGTGGTCAGTGCATGTCACAGAAACTGGTCGAATGGTTGGACACTTAGGATATTAGGCATTTATTATATAGGACTAGAGGCCTGGTGCACAAAAATTTGTGCACTTCCCTCAGCCCGGCCTGTGCCCTCTTGCAGTCTGGGACCCCTCAGGAGATAAAGACCTGCTGACTTAGGCCTGCTCCCTGGTGGCAGAGGGCAGGCCCAATACCTAGGTGCAGCCCCTGGTCAGGCTCAGAGCAGGGCCGATTGGGGAGTTGGGGCGCCGCCCCCTGTCACACTCAAGGCAGGGTCGATGGGGAGGTTGTGGTGCCACCCCGTCACCCACAGAGCAGGGTCGATCAGGGGGTTGGGGAGCTCCCCCCGTCA